CCACACCCCTTATAAGAATGCTTAGTTCTCCTTCCCAGCCGATGTGGGATCAAATCTAACCCACTTTCACCCCCCATTATAGGGTTCGACGTCCCTGTCGAACACATCGACCCATGCCCTGATACCATTTGTAACATCCCCCTCTGGCACGTATCACAATATTGTCCGCTTTGGGCCACTCGGAACGAGGACTTCCCAGGGGGTCACCCATCCTAGTACTACTCTCGCCCAAGCATGCTTAACTGCGGAGTTCTGATGGGATCGGGTGCGATCATAACATACCCCTCTGGCACGTATCACAATATTGTCCGATTTGGGCCACTCGGCGCGAGGACTTCCTAGGGGGTCACCCATCCTGTTACTACTCCCGCCTGAGCACGCTTAACTGCAAAGTTCTTATGGGATCTGCTGCCCTCATGGCTTTAAAACGCGTTGTGATAAGGAAGGTATCCACACCCCTTATAAGAATGCTTAGTTCTCCTTCCCAGCCGATGTGGGATCAAATCTAACCCACTTTCACCCCCCATTATAGGGTTCGACGTCCCTGTCGAACACATCGACCCATGCCCTGATACCATTTGTAACATCCCCCTCTGGTACGTATCACAATATTGTCCGCTTTGGGCCACTCGGAACGAGGACTTCCCAGGGGGTCACCCATCCTAGTACTACTCTCGCCCAACCACGCTTAACTGCGGAGTTCTGATGGGATCGGCCCGATCCCATCAGAACTCCGCAGTTAAGCGTGCTTGGGCGAGAATAGTACTAGGATGGGTGACCCCCTGGGAAGTCCTCGTGCCGAGTGGCCCAAAGCGGACAATATTGTGATACGTGCCAGAGGGGGATGTTACACTCACCCACCGTTCCCTTCCCGACTTGAAACTTCAAAGAAGAATATGGAGGAGAAAGAGATCTTGGACACCATACAAAAGGTGGAAGTAAACATTCCTTTACTTGATGCAATCAAGAAAATTCCGAGATATGCAAAATTCTTGAAGGATCTTTGCACCAACAAGAGAAAGTTGAAAGGAAATGAGAAAATCTCGATGAACAAAAATGCATCCGCGGTTTTACAAAGGAAGTTTCCACCTAAGTGTAAAGATCCCGGAATGTTCACGGTTCCTTGCAAGATTGGAGATGTCACTTTTAGTAGTGCTATGCTTGATCTTGGTGCCTCTATCCATGTCATGCCCTAATCGGTGTATAAATCATTGAATGTTGGACCCTTAAGTGAAAACGGTGTCATAATATCTCTTGCGGACAAATCAAGTGTCTTTCCTAGAGGTGTTTTGGAAGATTTCCTAGTGCAAGTAAATTAATTGGTCTTCCTGGAGGATTTCTATGTGATTGACCTAGATGAACAAGTATCCTCAAAATCATGTATAATCTTACTTGGGAGACCATTCTTGAAGACGACTAGAACAAAGACTGATGTGTATGCGGGAAGCTTAACAATGGAATTTGATGGTAAAACAATAAGTTTTAACATCTATGATGGTATGAGGTATCCTAGTGATGTTTCATCTTTGTGCTTTATAGATGTTGTCGAACCATTAACTCAAGAATTGTTCGAGTTGTGTGATGATGACATGTTAGAGATGGTTTTGAGCAAGGGGTTTGATTGTGCAAAGTTAGCCAAGAAGTTGAAGCTCTACTCGCTAGACCCCGAAATTGAAAGATTAGTCAACAATTTGGAGATCAATAAGACCTCCGAATTTAGTGTGAAGTAAATTGAATTACCTCAAACTCACACGAGATTGCCACCCTCCCTTGTCCAACTGGCAGAATTAGAATTGAAGGTCCTTCCTTAACATTTGAAGTATGTGTACTTGGGAGACAATGAGACTCTTCCGGTCATCATTTCAACTCACCTAACCAGGTGTGAAGAAGAACAGCTCCTCAAGGTGTTGAGGGAACATAAAGAAACAATGGGTTGGACGATTGTGGATATCAAGGGTTTGAGTCCCTCCACTTGTATACACAAAATCTTAATGGAGGATGAATGTAAGCCAAGTAGAGACGCGCAAAGAAGGTTGAATCCGCCAATGATGGAAGTAGTCAAGAAAGAGATTTTGAAGCTCCTAGATGCGGGAATGATCTATCCAATCTCGGATAGCAAGTGGGTGAGCCCGGTGCAAGTCGTTCCAAAGAAGACGGGAATCACGGTGGTCGAGAACAACAAAGGTATGATGGTCCCCACCCATGTGCAAAACGGGTGGAGAGTATGTATTAACTACCGAAAACTCAATCCAAGCACATGAAAAGATCATTTTCCATTACCCTTCATTGACCAAATGTCAGAAAGGTTGGCCGGAAAATCCCACTATTGTTGTCTCGATGGGTATTCCGGTTTTCACCAAATCCCAGTGGCACCGGAAGACCAAGAAAAGACAACTTTTACATGTCCATTTGGCACTTTCGCATACCGTAGAATGCCATTCGGATTGTGTAACGCCCCGGCCACTTTCCAATGTTGCATGGTTAGTATCTTTTCAGAATATATCAAGAATATAATTGAAGTTTTTATGGACGATTTCACGGTATATGGCAACTCCTTTCAAGAGTGTTTGACCAATCTCACCAAAATTTTAAAAAGATTCATTGAAACAAATTTAGTTTTAAATTTTGAGAAATGTCATTTCATGGTGAGTCAAGGTCTCATTTTGGGTCACATTGTGTCAAAGAAAGGAATTGAGGTAGATAAGGAAAAAATCGATGTTATTCAAAGCTTACCTTACCCGACTTGTGTTTCGGAAGTTCGTTCTTTTTTGGGTCATGCAGGTTTCTACCGACGATTCATCAATGACTTTTCGAAGATAACAAGACCAATGTGCCAACTCTTGCAAAAGGATGTTGATTTCGAGTTCAACGAGGCGTGCAAAGAAGATTTCAACAAGCTCAAAGAGTTGCTCACATCCGCACCCATCATGCAAGCACCAAATTGGGATCTCCCATTTAAGATTATGTGTGATGCAAGCAACTATGCAATAGGCGCCGTTTTGGGTCAAAAGAATGGGAGGGCCTCTCATGTGATCTAATATGTATCAAGGACACTAGACAATGCTCAAAGCAACTACTCTACTACGGAGAAGGAGCTATTGGCCATAGTGTTCGCCTTGGAGAAATTTAGACAATACCTACTTAGTACCAAGGTTATAGTGTATTCGGATCACGTAGAACTTAAGTACTTGATGATGAAGAAAGATGCAAAACCCAGACTCATCCGGTGGATTTTATTGTTACAAGAATTTGATTTGGAAATTCGGGACAAGAGCGGATGCGAGAACCTTGTTGCCGATCATCTAAGCCGGATCACTTCAAATGAAACTACTCTCCCATTGTGGGACGAGTTTCTGGATGAGCATATCTTTTCCTTTGCTCAATCTACTCCTTGGTATGCTAATATCATTAACTTTTTTGTCACAAAAGGTATCCCGACACATTCACACGTGCTCAAAAATACAAGTTGAAAAGTGATGCAAAATACTATGTGTGGGATGAACCTTATTTGTGGAAACATTTTCCCGATCAAATCATTTGGCGATGTGTGCCCCAACAAGAGCATCAATCCATTTTGCAATTCTATCATGAATTTGCTTGTGGGGGACACTTCAGACCTAGTCGGACTTTGAGAAAGGTCCTTGAGTGTGGATTATTTTGGCCAACCATGTCACGTAGTTGTTACTTGTTTTTCTATCATGAATTTGCTTGTGGGGGACACTTCAGACCTAGTCGGACTTTGAGAAAGGTCCTTGAGTGTGGATTATTTTGGCCAACCATGTCACGCAGTTGTTACTTGTTTTGCAAAAGTTGTGAGCGGTGCCAAAGGACGGGAAACATTTCTCAAAAGAACCAAATGCCCCAAAATCCAATCCTCAATTGTGAAAATTTTGACGTATGGGGGATTAATTTCATGGGCCCATTTCCCGTCTCATTTGGCAATGTTTATATTTTGCTCACGGTTGACTATGTTTCTAAATGGGTTGAGGCTAAAGCCACAAGATCGGAGGATGCCAAAACAGTTATTGAGTTTTTAAATTCTAATGTTTTTGTGAGATTTGGTGTGCCTAGGACTCTGATTAGTGATCGAGGGACACATTTTTGTAACAAGATGATGGAGGCTTTATTGAAGAAGTACAACGTGACCCACCGTATTTCAACAACTTATCACCCTCAAACGACGGTCAAGTGGAGGTTTCAAATCGTGAAGTGAAGAGTATACTTGAGAAAACAGTGAATCCCTTAAGAAAAGAGTGGATTTCAAGGCTTGATGATGCCTTGTGGGCCTATCAGACCATGTATAAGACCTCGATAGATATGTCCTTGTTTAGGTTGGTCTTTGGAAAACCATGCCATCTTCCCGTAGAATTGGAACACCGTGCATTTTGGGTGGTCAAACAATGCAACTTCAACATCGATGAGGCGGGAAGGAATAGGAAGCTTGAACTTCAAGAGTTGGAGGAGTTGAGAAATGACTCTTATGAAAACTCGAATTTACAAGGAAAGAACAAAGCTTTTCCATGGCAAGTCCATTACCCGCAAACATTTCGAGCCGGGACATAGGGTTTTAATTTATCATTTGCGATTGAAATTATTTCCTGGAAAGTTGAGATCAAGATGGATAGGTCTGTTTATTGTGCTAAAAGTCTTTGAGCATGGAGCAGTTTAAATTCATAGTGAAGAAACGGGGCAAATCTTTAAAGTCAATGGGCATCGATTGAAACCTTTCTATGAAGGTTTTAATGCAAATGTATTAGATGTCATCCAATTGGATGCCCCGGTGTACTGAAATCAAGAGGGAAGCACGTCTCGCCAAAGATGTTAAAGAGGGGCATTTTTGGAAAACTAAAAGTTTTCGTCTTTTCTAGTTCCGAATAAATGTCGTAGATGGTTCATTTTTGCATTTAACATCTCTTATTCTTCCTTCTTGAGGTAAAAGAATGTTGGATTTAAGGGCACGGTGTTCATATTGGTCAAAGAGTAATTTTTTTTTTTGGAATATGTCAAGCCAATTCACGCGGTCCGCATGTACTCAAGGTGCTGTCTACGTGTTTATTAACATAGACCGCGTGTTACCTCCTAAACTGTCCGCGTCCATTATCGGCAAACAGAAGAGTTGCAGTCTAATTCACGCGATCCGCGTGTACTCAAGGTGCTGTCCACGTGTTTATTAAAATGGACCGTGTGTTACCTCCTAAACTGCCCGCGTCCATTATCGAAGAACATAATGCATCAGGTGAACTCACGCGGACCGCGTGTACTCGCAGTCACGTCCGCGTGAGTTGTTGACTGATGTTGACCTCATTTTGACCAGGTTTGACCACAACTTAATCCACCAAAAACCCGTAGTGGCCCTTCCTCCTTCCCACTTCTTCTTCTTCCTTTCCCTAACCTCCATCAGAGCACCCCCATCTCCACCACTAAAACTCAGTTTCCCGTCAAACCGCCGGTCGGAATTTCACGAGACCACCGCCATTATTCACCAAATTCAAAGTTCTACAAACCCCACAAAAAACCACTCTGATCTGTTGCTATATTTCAGGGCGCCAACACCACTCCATTGCCACTTTTCGGCCGATTTCCGGCCAACTGCGGCCACTTCTCGCGATTCCGACACCACCATTGTACTCCTCTTGGAAAAGGCTACAAACCACACCAAAAATATTTCCCAAAGCTCGCCGGAAAATTTTGTCGGAATTTCAAACCATTGTCGGATTCATCGGGTTTTCGCGGTGAATTGCTTCTCCCGGGATATTGAACAAAGCTTAAAGCTTGGGGTAGAGAGTTGTAAGATTTTCAAATCTGGAATTTTCGCGCGCAAATTTTCAACTTTCAACAAAAATGGGTACTTTCTTTCCTTTGTTTTAATTGATCAAGATGCATGTTCGTTCATGTGCTATTGCATCAAAGGAATTTAGGAATTAACTCTTGCCTTTATTGTTGAATTGATTTAGAAATCCATAGGGAGTTAGTTGGTGATTTGGATTGACATATTATTTGTTGAAATTGTGGTTCGTGTAGTGGTTATTTTTCGTGCAGGAAGTCCATGTACACATCTAGGAAGCGCCCGGCTGCTGCCAAGGCAAGGCCCCGACTAGAAATCAAAGCGATGCTCCCGATATCCCAAGATTTCGGGATGCCAAGGCAGTCGAAAACTACACAAAGAGCTTTCCTAGAAAAGTTGCATCCACCAAATTCTTGTGCAAGCCCACGCTTATATCACTAGGGGTTCTTGAAGGAGTCACCCAATTGTTCCGTAACATTGGGTGGGAAAACCTTCTCAACCTCATGGCACATACTTATGAGCTCCCCACTAGAGAGTTTCTTGCCGATAGTGGGTACGATAGCGAAAAAAAGAAAGCCACATTCCAACTTCTAGGGGACCAAAGGTACATCGATTTTGCAACGATAAACGACATCTTGGTCTTGACTTCTTCAAACACATCCACAATTTTCGAGGTCCTACCGGCTGAGTTCAATCACGAGACCTTTTGGATGGAAATCACCGGGGTATCTTCTCGTGTGCCGATCGGGATAAAGCAACCTCTATCTATTGGGGTTTGAGCATTCTAACACTCCTAAGTGTACATGCAACCCTAAATACCTTGGATCTATGTTTTCTCTATTATACATACAAATATGAACTTTCCAAGGTATTCATCCTAACTAGCATAATAACATGATTCATATGAATATATCAAGTTAGAATTACATACCTCTTTGATGTAGAAAGTCTTCATGAAGCTTGAGTGCCTAGTGCCCCAAGTGTGACACCTCAAATGGTTCACACAACACCAAATACACTTGGAATAACTTGAGAGAAACTTGAACACTCCTTGAAATCGTTTAGCCCTCACACTCACACATAGTGCATGATTTCTTGAGCCATGGGATTCTTTTATATGGTGGCTATTAGGGTTACAACATGTAACTCATGACTTTACCCATTCCTTATGCTCCATGGATTTTAACCTCTATGGAGTATCCATGGGTCACCCCATGGACTTAGTCCAACATAAGGAATCTTGGATCACAAGCCCACATATATAAGAATGAATGATTTACACAATCAACCCATATATTTAATTAGTCTTCTTTTGATCACTTAATTAATTCCAAATTAATTCTTGATCAATACTAATTAAATAACCTTATTAATATATTAGAACTTATAATATATTAACAAACCTTAAGTGTTATTTCTCTCATTTTAGTCTATCCAAATGCATGATGCCATGCAACCCAAATGGACCATGCCGGGTCGGGTCAAGTCTTACCAATTATAGTTATGGACTTAGACACTAATCCAACAGTCTCCCACTTGGATAAGTCTAAAACTATTATTGCGTATGACTTCAGGAACCAACTGGAAATCGTAGCTCTCAAAAGCTTCTGTCGAACTTTGACCTTGTAGATGAACTCTGACCTTTGTCAATGACTTGTCCATTAGATAAGGGATCACATATTCCTCCATTCTAGATATCATATGGACTGAGACATGGATTATAATCATTCTCTCTGTCCATTTGTTGTTTCCCGATTTCCGATTTATGATGACCGACTAATTGAACAAATCATATCAGTCCTGGCCCGGCCGAGCACTTCCATTTATCATCATCAAATCATCGAGGGGCCCAAAAATATCGCTTTTATCCTGAAGGTAAAAGGAATGGATAAACTTCGACTCATATGACTTGTTCTACTACTTGTTGAATCATACACAAAGGCACATTTTATAACATCAAGTTACCAATGCGTTTTCGTGCAATCAATGTACTATCAACTCATAGTAACAACTCATATCTCTAGGTTTGAAGAATATAAGATATTATCGTCCCATGATCACTCATGATAAAAAATCCATGAAGTGATTCCAATGAGCGCGGGTTGAATCCAATACTCAGAAATTATGAGCACTCATGAGTGTTGTAGCCCTTTGTCCAACATCTTAGACCTCTACAAGCCTACCCATGACAGTCTTAATTCATATCTACTTCCAACATATGATTGACTGTGGATGGTTTGAATAACTTAGTCAATCAGAAAAATGACCTAGTTATTCTGGAAGTCAAAACATGCAAAGTGAAACACAATAATAATCGAATCTAATATGGTCTCAGAACTTATGAATATAAATAAAACACCTTTTATTTATCACCATATGATTACACATTATTCATTGTATACTGTTTCAGCTATCAACTTTATTCTTGAATTTTAAACAATAGTTGTCCCATGCTCCAAGCATAAGCATGTACATTATGTTTTCTAAACACTAGTCATGCCATACACCAAGTATGCATACTATGTTTGTCTATGATCTTTACTTTGTGAAATAGATCAATTGAACATAACTCCAATGATCCTCTTTTCACAGCCCCAAATCGTTACTGCAAATGCAAGAATTCCAAATTCATGCCATTTACTGAAATCTGTTAGATTCTAAACTTATATGCATTGATCTTCTTGTAATGATTATGCACAAATTCACAAAGACTTGGCAACAATCATTACAAAGTATTCCAAAGGAGATCAGCTCCTTGGAAACATCCTTCTTGCATTAGGTTTCCTAATCTCGCACAGATTGAATAATTTCTAACTTTGAAACATTTCCAGATTCATTTTGACTATCACTTCTGAACAAGAGTTGCCTCCTTACAGATTATGTCAATGTGGTCCGTCCAGAATTATCACTATACTTCCAACTGTCCTTGAGCAACCAATCTTGAGAAAACCTTAGATTGTCCTCGATAATTGTTTAATTCTTTTAGTCATATCCAATTCTAGACCTTTTCCCTTCTTAATGCCCCAGGTATTTGGAAAATTTTAGAAAGGATGAATATATATCACATGTAATCGATTCTATATCCAAAGCATATGGGACACGATTCATGATGTCTCACATAAAGACTAAACCAGTCTTTTGCTATAATATTTCCATTTCAATTTGCCAATTTCTCAAAATTCAGATTATGAAAAGGGACGACGTAATCATTATCGAATTTTAGAACGCAAATAGTGGACCCATATACATAATTTCCTTATGTTGAGCCATTCCAACATGAAATTCATATATGTATCCTTGACTAAATACGATTAAAACCTCAGTCTAAGCTTTTAGATTTGAGATGAAGTATAATTTCCTCTCCCTTAATTATAGAAAAACAACTCTTTCCCAGTTGAAACTTTTGTTTTCTATAATTAACATTGCTAACTTGCAATCTTTATCATAATTATCATGCTCCCACTAACATGATGATTATTAGCATGACACTTATGCTCCCACTAGCTTTGACACGTACTCAGAAAACAACTGACTTTCTTACTGAAGTTTAGATTTCTAATACTAGATTGTTTTGATAAAACTTTATCAAAATCATACATCTTCCCATAGATAGCTCATAGGTGTGTCTAAACAATTATGAAGAGGGATACCGTAATCATAGTGGTTTAGAACTTTTTGCCACTTCTCATAAGTCCAGGTTAGTGTGCCGGTTAACCACACACGCTCCACTAACGACTTTGAGAATGCAAATATCACAATTGCTATCTACTTCAAATCTACTTGGTGGAAGTGTTTCCTCACCATCATTTTCATGAATCGGAGAGAAACCTTATAACCATTAGATTTAATGGTGTATGTGTTCTTATCCATGTGAATTTTCAAAACCATAGTCACAAGACAAGGATAATGATAAATCCAAACTCATATGGACTGAACTCAATCTTAATTTCTTGCCACCTGGCAGTTCAATGGCCTGCCATTGCTTCCATGTTGTTGTGCAACCAATTGAGAACTCTAAGAAGTCATATGCAAAGACAACTTTAATTGGAATGGGCACATAATATGTCAACACGATAGGTTTTGAACCTCAAGTCGTGTGCTAGTGAGGAACTTCAGGTTTCATTCTTGATTAGTTCTTGAGACTTTCAAGACCTTTAAGACTCCCACTGTCCTATATAAGACTCTCTTGTCAGATATTCAAGAGATAGTGTGGATTATAATCAAGACAAACACTTCACACAATTGGCCTTAGTTGGTCTTTGTTTTATCCAAAACATCGCAACTTACCAATTTCAAATGTACAAGAGTAGGAAACTTTTACTCTTACATTTGACAAGTGTTTTAAACCTTCTTTAAGATATGTCACTCAAGTTACGTTCTTAGAGTATAACTCTAAGAATTGTTTTGGAACGATGTATGGATCATCTTCTTGATTTAACCACTTCAACAATTCATAGCTCCTCTTCTTAGCTATCAGAATGCACTTAGAGGATGAATTGTGATAAGGTCTCTAAATCATTAAGATGATCATATAACATGATACTAAAGTACTCTCCCATCTTTTCATATTTGAGAAACTTTTATCCTTCTGCCTAATTTGATTCTTCTTATTCGCTCTTCCATACATTGGAACCTTTTCCGATGTCTCAGAATTACACTTGAGCTTGTAAGTATAACCATATTTACTGAGCTTTAGTAAATTATGACGAATAATCTTATCGGTCTTTTGTGGTGGACTTAACCAATGCACAAGAATGTGTACTCGATCCCTTAGTCCTTTACATGACTCACACATCCATGTGAACAAGTAATTAGTCTTAATTTTCCAATGCTCGAAAGTTCTCATTCACCATGCTATACAACTTGCATGATTCCAAGTTTCTATCCTATTGAAACTTGGGTGATGAGAATCTTTCCTTATATGGCAAATTTAGACACTACCACAAATGAAAGAATCAAATTCATATTTCCACTCTTGCTCTTAATGGAATCTTATAAGCAACAAAAATTTCCACAAATGACATTGTAAGGATATTTTAAAATAAATAAAATCTAAATTTCCTTTTATTTTAAAAACTTTGCAGAAAAACTAATCCTTACAATGCAAATGTATATGAAAACTTGTTGTTATCTATTCCTAAGCAATTTATCATAACTCCTAAGAAGTAGCTCAAGAATCCAATCTTCAAACTATGCGATAGAAATCCATCTACACGATCAGATTCATCATATTCTTTCTTTAAGTTTCTTCAGTTCTCTTTGATTCTTAAAACATCAACATGTGACCCAGTCACATCATGTATCAAGAATCCATAACAGAAACTTAGCAGAGTTAGATAGTCGACTTTACCTAAAGTAGAGTCAAACTTATTGACTTTAACATCATTAGGTAAATTGGCAGCTTCGCAACCAATGCCCCTTCCTTTGGCAATTTAACATATGGACACTTTGGTAATGGAACATGGGAATATCACAGAATTATCCTTTCTCTTTACCATTTGGTCAACCAAGTTGACTATGACCGATCCCTTTCCACTTGGAAGAGAGAGCTTTACTAGATATCCAATGCCATCATTGTCAATGTCCATAATGTTTTAGGAAGTTGATCTTAGCAAATAGATAAGATCATTAAGGGTCTTGCCATAGTCTATTTCATAGGGGTTCCAAAGGAACTCACTATGTGACATAGAAAGTAGTTGTACCACCAACTTTCCCAAGACTTGACACCTAACTCTCCCGGCTTGTCAATATGTGACTACATCTCCAAGATGTGACCACA